CCCCAAAACCCCAAAACCCCAAAACCCCAAAACCCCAAAACCCCAAAACCCCTGTTTTTCTTACATGTCTTGATAAAATTAACTTAAAAAATGTCTACCAACGTTCAAATTGGGGAAGATGTTCCTGAAACTACTTACAAGCAGTTATTGACTGAGACTGAAGGGGAATTCACTGATGACAGCTTTGCACCAAACCAGAAATCCATTATCACTAATGAGAGTGTATTTGATCTCACTCCTGAAGAAGTTGATGTATTTAAAAGCCTTAGTTATGCCAGACTCTCTGAGATTTATGATCAGAAGAGCACAAGATTCTTCGGAGAGATTTCTCCCGAAGTGATTCAACAAGGCTGCCTCTGAAATTCATATTTCTTGTCAGCCATTAGTGCTCTTGCTGAGAACCCAGAAAGAATCAAGAAATGATTTGTCTCTCAAGACTGGAATAAAGTTGGCTGTTATGCAACAGAATTGTACGTGAATGGTGAGAAAACAGAAATTATTGTTGACGATTACATTCCTGTGTATAAAGATTCAAAGGATATTGCATTCTCTAGCACAACTACTAACAGCATTTGGATGCAGTTGCTGGAGAAAGCATGGGCCAAAGCTAACGGAGGATATGACAAAATTGTATTTGGGCTTTCCAGTGAAGTCCTCAGAACAATCACTGGAGCTCCTACATTCACATTGGATCATGAGACTTGAAAACCAGATAGTGTTTGGAAGAATCTCAAGGACGGTACGAGGAATAATTATCCTATGCTGTGCAGCCTTGATTCCGAAAAATACAATTATGATGAGCATAACTGAATCAGTAATTTCTCTTACAACGTGATCGGTACTTATAAAGTAAATACAAGCAATGGAAATGTAAAACTGATCAAAATCAGAAATCCTTGGAAGAACTTTGACTGGGAAGGAGACTGGGCTAGTAATTCTGATCTCTGGACTGAGCATATTAAGGAAGAAGTTGAGTACGAATCCAGCGAAAATGGGATTATCTTTATGTCTCTTGAAGACTATATTGACTCCTTCACAGCAAGTGTTATCTGTAAGGTGCACGATAGCTACGAATATACTAGATATGAGATGAAGCAAGATATAGGGAGTCATTCTGTCCTCAAACTACAAGTAAATCAAGATGCAAAAATTTTCTTGAATCTCTCTCAGCTAGCTTACAGAATTGTGCCAAAAGAATATGGATACAAGCCCTATAATGCTAAGATGATACTTGCTAGATTAGAAAAGGATAATAAAGACTTTCCACTTGAGTTCATTAATGCAAATGTCGACGAAAAGGATGAGGTAGCACTAGAAGCTGATTTAGTGGCAGGTGAATATTATCTCTACTGAGAAGTGGACTGGGACGAAAATAGGCCACATGATTCGTTTATTGTGTCATTCTATGGCCCACATATAGCTAATCTATATGAAAAATAACTACCCAAGCTTCTTGGAGAAGTCACTTGCATCCTGAGCAATGCTCAAGTCCCAGAGACACTACTATTACGACCATAAGCAAGAAAATTCATTTAGGTGAATGAGTGTAACGGACTCTAAATGCGAATATGGATTCTTGTTCTATTATAACGACTCTAAAGATGCAGTTTTAGAAGAAAAGATTAATTTCTCAGCTCTTGATAATCTTGAGCTTGCAGAACCTTACAGTGGAACATCTGCCAAGATCAAAGTGAGCGCTGGGAAGTCTAAAATAGTCATCCTTAAAAGACTTGACAGATACTGCAAATACGAAGTTGAGTACAAGACCAGGTTTTCCTTTGGGGAAAAGAAATATCTTGAAGAAATTTATGATAAAGGAAAGAAAATCCAAGTGACTTTCAATAAAAAGCCTTATGATATTTTCGTCTACACTATGTATGGAGGAAGTGACTTCTATTTCTTGATGGAGAACCATACTGATGATAAGCTATGCAAAGCGAAGTTCAAACTAGACCTTAGAAATATGCATGATATTGATAATCCAAGTAGCAAATCATGGGTTGTCGACATTTATCCAGGAGCTAAAATTGTCAAAAAGCTCTCAACAACTGATTCTTCAAAGAAGAGCGGAGTAAAGTACTCTTATGCTTTCAAAGTTGAGGAAGTTCTCAATGATGAGAACCTCATCATTGAAAAGGTCAAACAGAAAGGAAAGAAAAAGCAGATTCAATATAACGCCGAGAACTACAATATAAACTTCTATTCGTCTTTTTTCCAAAAGAAGTTTTATTTCCTCTACGAGAACAACGAGGAAGATAAAATATTTGAAGGAAACTACAAGTTTACTAAAACAAACTTGAAAATTGTTGGAGACGAGGATTCAGATACAGTTAAGGTAGTCCTCCAACCAGGAGAAGTTGCACTAAGAGTATTAGTGCCTGTAGATCCAGACCAAGAGTGTACTATTTCTTACAAGTACACTTATGTGGTTTCAAATCTTGAGCAATAATTAGAATTCAATATTGATTCTCTTGTAAGGGGTTTTGGGGTTTTGGGGTTTTGGGGTTTTGGGG